TTTGCAAAATGCTCTGTCAGACATAGCACGTGCCCTCAGCCCTTAATTTTTTTTTTTTTTTTTTTGTGGCACTGGCATTTTGGTATTGATAACTGCTTTGTTTTGTTTCTGAGACAGGGTCTCACTCTGTAGTTCAGGCTGGCCTCGAACTCACAGGGATCCTCCTGCCTCAGCCTCCCAAGTGCTGAAATGACAGCCGTGCACCACCACGTGCACCATCTGACTCCTTTCAATCAGAATGAAATCGTAGCTGACACAGGGCGAGCGTGTCCTAGGAGCTTACGTCGAGCCGTACCAGCGATGCTGAACCTTTCAGTGCCTGCTGTGGTCACAAACACGGCCTGGAGCACCCGAGCCATAGGCTCACCAGCCGTGCTAGGAACATTCCCTTCACCTGCACAGCGGTCCTGCTGCATAGATCCTGGTGTTGTCCCCGTCTTTCAGAGGGTGTTTCCGCAGGTCCGTCCGTCAGCACCAGGAGCCGAGGTCAAGCATGCCGCGTCCCGAGAGCCAGTGTGGTCGCTGCTGGGCCCGTGCCTGTGACTGTGGGCGCATATTCACGGTCCTCGTCAGGGCTGCGCTGTTGCAGAGAGCGTGCTGGGCAAAGGGGAGAAGGCAGCCAGGCCAGGCAGAGGCTGAGGGGTCACAAGCACGTTAAAACCCAAGCTGGCCCCAGCTGTGGTGGACACAGGGCGGGTCCTCGGGTCTGGGAGTCTATTCCTTCTCTCTAGAACGTCAGTCGTCACACCACGTTCATTCGCTCACGCGCGTATCCCCCAGTGCGTGGTGCAGTCCCCCCAGTACTGGCTTCAGGAGCGATGATGTAATAGCATTTATTGCTGTAAAACGGGTGGAACAAGACAATACAAAAGCAGAGGTGACATACTTGATTTCCTTTGAGTGGAGGCCCTCTGGATTGCTGCAGACTTCTCTGCGTCATCCACAGTCTTTACCTTCGACTTTGCTCTTGCCAGTGAGCGAATCTTCCAGGTAGGATGAGCGGAGATGACCCTGGGAGGGTGTGTGGTTTCCTGGTGAGCTGCACTGGTGGCTAGGTAGATCTAACCTAACTGGAGAAGTATTACGTCTCTAAAAAACCAGCCTGGTTCAATTATCCGCAATCTAAGAGAGAATCCAAAGAACAGTATCTAATTGCCCTGAAGGCCTTCAGAGCCCAGTTTGTGCCCAGGTGACTTACGTGAGAACCCAAAACGGGGAAGAGCAGATTGCAGGGCCTTGCGGAAGGCCACTCGCACTCAGGCACTCAGACGGGCCATCGCTGTGCGGTTTTCCATTTCAGACAAGGGCGTGAGTTCCATCCTGGGTTGAGACCCAGCCTCATTTATCTGTAGGGGATCACGCTTTAATTATCCCCGGAGGAAACTGATCTTCCCTCCGGAGTGTTCATGTTAACAGACAAGCAGATAGTACAAGCAGACATCTGTGCCCTGGTTTCTGTGTGGACACTGTCCCAGTCTCTGTCTGTCTCTCTCTCTCTCTGTCTGTCTCTCTCTCTGTCTCTCTGTCTCGCTGTCTCTCTCTGTTCCTCTCTCTCCCCCTCTCTCCCCCAAGTGAAATCTCACCCCCACCTTGGCCTTGTGAGTCAGACACTACTGACTTGGTGCTTTCTAATAGAGGGTTTGGACACACAGGCCCGCTTGTAGCGTGGCGGCTTCTCCCGTCCAAACAGGAGGCTCTGCATACTGGGAAGCTGTGAGCTCTCCGCTGCAGCCCGCAGCCAGGCCTCTGCTCCAGCGATTTGTCGGAGGGAAGCAGCGTTCTGGTGATGCTCCTGGAATTCCCACTTGGAGCAGGGCTGCGGTTCCTGGCTCAAAGGAGCCATCAGCCTGGCCCGGCCCTCTCAGCGTCTGGAGGGGTGGGGCGTGGGGAGCAGTCGGTCGCACAGCCATATGGCGGCCGGCCAAGCCCAAGCCCTGGACTCCTGCCTCCTAACCTAGAGCTTTTTGGTTTTTAAATCTTTGCACATGGCTGCCATGTTAAACACAGCTGCCCAGGCGTGGTCAGGCTGGAGGAAACTGAGACGGGTGATTGTAATAGTAACCTAGTGCACACAGCCTGCAGATGAAAGTGCTTATTCACTTCTGTTTGGAAAAACAACCAAAGACCCTGCTCGTCTGACAAAGCTGAAGTGGAGAAAATGCAGAGGACATCAGCACAGTTGCTACATGATGGGAATGACCAAAAAAAATAACACGGAAATAATCGTTAGCATGTTCATGATGGGGGTCTTAATTCGTATGTCACGTGTGTCCCATCAGGTGGCATGAAACAGTCGTGCATGTACCACTGATGGTTCAAGCCAAGGAATGTGTTAAATTATTCAAATAAACCAAGTGTGTTGGTGCACACCTCTAATCCTAGCACTCAGGAGGCTGAGGCAGGAGGATCATGAGTTAGAGGCCAGCCTGGGCTACACAGTGAGTTCAAGCCCGGCTATGTAGTAAGACTCTATCTCAAAAAAAAAAAGGACAACAAAAACAACAGTCCCCCATTCTCAAACAAGACTGACAAGCCCTCAGGTATTTTGAGTTTTAAATCTAAACTGTCGGGATCCTTGGCCCCAAGGCTGGGACTTTGAGGGGAGCAGGCGTGTGCATGCATGGTGGTGTCAGTGTGGCCAGTGCTATGGCTCAGCTGACACTGAATGGAGGATTGTTGCACACCCGGCATGGGCGGCGGAAGACGCCATGTCTTCCTTGCAAGGAGATGGGAAGCAACCAGTGTCTGGAGGAGGTGCTGTGGAGGTGCAGGAGATGTGCTGGGAGGGGCCGTGAGTGCTGGCAGGATAGGGGGAGCTTCCTGGAGGAGGCAGCGTTTTCAAGAACTGCCTCGCTGGGTGTAGTGGTGGAAATCTCATCCCAGGCCCAGGAGGCTGAGGCAGGAGGATCTCACTGCACGTTCAAGGCCAACCCTCAACTACATAGTGAGACCCTGCCTCACAACAAAAACAAGGGCCGGAGCTATAGCTCAGTGGCATTAGCACTTGCTTGGCAAGTCAAGGTCCTGAGTTCGATTGCTGGTACCAAAAAAATAAACAAAAAAAAACCCAAAGAACTGCCTTAATGTGAACTAAAATGTTGGCAAAGAAAGAGATTGCAGGCTGGGCGGGCAGGCCGGTCGGGTTGGTGGCAGTAAAAGGGTTACCGAAGCCCTGTCTCTTTGTTTTATTTTGTGTTTGTCTTTTTTTTTGGACACAGGGTCTCGCTGTGCAGTTCAGGCTGGCCTTGTCACTTTGTAGCCCACGCTGGTTTTGAACTCACAATGATCTCCTGCCTCAGCCTCCCGAGTTCTGGGATTACAGGCGTGCGCCACCACTCCCGGCTCAGCCAGGGATTTTCTACACCAGGATAGGAGGCAGTCGGGCGCGGTGGCCTGCGGGCGCAGGGTAAAAGCAGGAAGGAGAGGAGGCCTGCTCCTCTCCATGAAGCCGGACCCGCCCATGGTTCTGCCGTCCTCTCCTTTCCACACTGCTGTCCTAGAAGCACTTCAGCTCCCCTTCCTCATCCCCTGGCACCAGTGCACGCAGCGCCAGTGGCCTGTCCAGACCTGTGCTGTCCCTGTGCCTGTCCCTGTCCCTGACCCTGTCCCTGTCCCTGTCCCTGACCCTGTCCCTGTCCCTGACCCTGTCCCTGACCCTGTCCCTGTCCCTGTCCCTATCCCTGACCCTGACCCGACCCTGACCCTGACCCTGACCCTGTCCCTGTCCCTGTCCCTGACCCTGACCCTGACCCTGACCCTGTCCCTGTCCCTATCCCTGTCCCTGACCCTGACCCTGACCCTGACCTGACCCTGTCCCTGACCCTGTCCCTGTCCCTATCCCTGACCCTGACCCTGACCCTGTCCCTGTCCCTATCCCTGACCCTGACCCTGTCCCTGACCCGACCCTGACCCTGACCCTGACCCTGACCCTGACTCTGAGCCTGTGCTCGCTGCTGCTGCTACCAGCCTGGTGCACTTGCAGAATCACCCAGGGAGCCGCAGGGGGCTCCAGGGCTGTAGGGCAGTAGTGGCTTCTCGAGCCGCAGCTGTGCGAGTGCGCCGTCCCGCCGTGTGGGTGCTGCGGGGTTAGAGGGGCACAGCGAACTCTGCTGGCTGTTGTCACTGAGGACTCAGGATGCCTTTGTCCTGGGCCTTACCTTCCCTCTTCACCCCTGCAAGGACGACCTCGCCGAGGGCCTGCGTGGTGTCCTGGGCTCGGCCTGGGCTCTCCGTGCCCACGGTCTTACTGGGTTGTGTCGTGGCCGACTCCTCCCTGGGAGGCGATCGGATGTCCTGGGAGCGGAACTTGACGCGACTCTGTGGCCCCTGAACCCCCGGCCCTGCCTCTGTGTCCCCTGGGGGTCAGGCCCGCGGTGTCGAAGTGCGGCTGTGGTCGGTCCCAGGCCTCACCCGACGCCGCTCCTGGGGCTGCGTAGGGGAAGAAGCAGCAGACATTTCTGGGCCAGAGATTTTTCCCCAGCGGGGCATAAAAAGGTGGACTTCGAACTTTTTCTCTAAAACATGGCAGTAGAGCAGTGTGATGGCTGCCGTTCGAGTGCTGGTGCCGAGGCCTCTACTGAGGCGAGGACCCCTCGGCCAGGCTTTCTGTGCAGCTTCCTGGCTGAGCAAGGTGACCAGTGGGCGCTCAGGCAGAGAGCAGGTGAAGTCTGGAGCCCGCTCCGTCACCTCTCTGGGCTGGCGCGACCCTGGATGGGTGTGTGCACGTCCTGCGTGTTTTCCCCAGGGATCTTTTGTGGCTTCTCCGCACTTACACCTGGGTGACCCGAGCCCGCCCACCGTGGCCGCAGGATGCCTTTACTGGAGGCGTTTGGATCGCCTCCCGCTGGCCTGTCCAGGGTGCTGGAGGGAGGACCGGGTGGCCTTCTCCCTGGGGGCCTTCCCAGCACCGCCACACTTGCGAGGTGCTGCCCGCAGTGGAGAAGGCGTCGTGGCGCTGGCAGAGGGCCCAGGACATTGACGCAGGTCTGCTGTGTGCGCAGGAGCCGCCTCCGTCCACGCTTGGCCGCGCCATGCCACTGCACGGTGAGAAGCAGCACGCGGCGGAGGACCGGCCGAGCGACCCGGAGGACTTGGACTCCCCACGCTGCTCCGAGAGCCTGGCTTCGCTCAGCGACTGCGAGTGCTCGGGGCAGAGCCTCGCCAGCGACTCCTCCAGCAAGTCCAGCTCTCCTGCCTGTGAGCCGGGTACCGGGTGGGCAGCGGGGCCCCTGCAGGGCGAGCTGGGTGGGTGGAGGCTCAGCCGGGCTCAGGCAGAGCCGGACGTACTGTGTGGCTGGCACCTTCCCTCCCACCACGAAGCAGGCGCCCAGCCCGCCTGCCTTTCTCCCCAGACGGAGGGGAGCTGCTCCTCCGTGGGCACTTAGGATAAATGCAAGTTCGTTTTCTGTGCTTTTTTTTTTTTTTCTTTCGGATACGCTTGAAGGAAACTGCCATCCCGGAAGGGTCGGGCAGGAAGTGAAATAATCTAAAGGGTTTCTTGCTAATCTCAAACCCTGCTGTGGAAATCACTCATCAGGGGCCCAGAGAGGATTTCAACAGGACACAAGGTTGTGAGACAGAGCTGAGGAGGGCTGCAGGCGAGGGGGAAGCTTCCCCTCTCTTCTCCCCAGCTCCTTCCCTCCCCTGTCATCTTCTCTTCACTTCTTTCTTTTTCAAAGCACTGGGGATGCACACCTATAATCCCAGCACTCAGGAGGCTGAGGCAGGAGGATCGTTGTGAGTTCAAGATCAGCCTGGGCTACCAAGTAAGCTCAAGGCCAGCCTGAACTGCATAGCGAGACCCTGTCTCAAAGAAGGCAAATAAGTAAATAAAAAATATAAAAGTTGGTTGTTCCATAGTGAGTGTACTTAGTGAGAATTCTGAATTGCAGAATAAAAATAGTCTTAGTTTCCCTTATTAATGCACGCAAGTATCAGTGGATACTGAAAAATAAGGTGATTGAGTTTGTGCAAGTAAGTTGCAGGCCTGGAGGAACGAGGTTGTCCTGCCAGTATTTGGGGACTTATTGTCAGGTTGGCAGCGGGAGCTGTGGGAGGAGTGCTTACCTGTCTGCACCCCTTCTTGCGTGAGTGAGTGTGTGAGTGGGTGGGGTGCCGCCCGTGCGGTGTGGAGCCCTGATAGCCGTGCAGCCCTCAGCTGAGCCCGTGCCTGTGTCGGGAGCCACTGTGGACGATGTCTTCTCCCCGCGGCACAAGCTGACTTTGGTTTGTCTCTCAGCATCGAGCCCGCCCAGGGTCGTGACCTTTGATGAAGTCATGGCTGCAGCCAGGAACTTGTCCAACATGGCCCTGGTCCACGAGATCGCCGTCAATGAGAAATTCCAGCTGATGAAAGAGGACCTCCCGGAGCACAGGTAACCTGCCAGCCTTCGATGTGCGGATGGCGCCGGAAACTGTGTGTGTTCTGTGTGTGCACGCTTGTGTATTCATTGGTTTGTACTGATTCCTGCAAGTTTTTGTGTAATGGCCATAGGTGAAGCCAGGCAATGTAATGCACACCTGTGATCCTGGCACTCAGGAGGCTGAGGCAGGAGGATCACCATGAGTTCCAGGCCAGCCTGGACTACATAGTGAGAACCTGTGTCAAGAAAACGCAAACAAAAGAGTCCAAACTGTAGGTCATGCTTCCCTGGGGATGTTGCTCATAACAGTTACGAAGGCCCCGCTTCCCCAGCTGCCGCAGGTCTTCCTGTCCCTGTCCGGCTGCTCAGACCTTGGAGCGGCCTGGGAGTTACGCCCCTCACGCAGTTTCCCCAGCCTCCAGGCCTCCTGCTTCTCCCTTGGACTCTGCTCCCGAGGCTTCCGCAGAGGCTGAGGCAGGCCTGGCCCCTTCCAGGTGCGGCTCTGCCCTCCACGCAGCTCTTTGCCACCTTGGCAGAAACTCCGTTTACTACAGTGTCCCTGGCACCTAAACCAGGAGCCAGCATGTACTGCAGGTGCCATGCGCGTTTATGTACTGACAGAAAATGAAATTTTAAAGTTAAAATTAGCACTTTTTGAAGTAAGGGAAAGACGGTGTGGTGGTGCCTGGACTTTAGATTCCAAAGCCGCAGGTTGCAAATCATCTTTTGATTTCCTGTCCCCACAATGGCCAAGTTTTTCCTTGTTAAAATACAGCTGACTCATCTTTTAGCAGATAGCATCTTGGGAACGAAGCACAGCTTGTCACTTGTGACACCCGTAGGGATGCTCAGAAATGGTCTGGTGGGGAGGTCCTGCCCTACCCTCCGGGACGGCTCTGGAGAGCAGTTGGCAGCTAGAAAAGCCCTGCACCCTCTCCCCGGTCCCTCGGGCCCCAGGTCTGAGTTGCCGAGGACAGCTCGGCCGTTGGAAGGGGAGTGTCTGCAGTCACTGCTGCGGGTGAGCGGCAGACACACTCGAGTCTGAGGTCTCTGAGTAAATGTCATGCGTGCAGTTCCAGAAGCAACTTCAATCACACCCTTCAGAAAGCTCCTTTGCGTCTCTCACTGTACCCTAGTGCTTTAAGAAGGAAAAGGAATTTTGCCAATGAAAAGGATGAGAAAGGGAGGGGGAGCAGGAAGCAGAGAACTAAGATGAGTTCTGTCCGTGCACCAGCTCCCCACCGTGGACATGGTTATTATATAGGCGAACATGGGCCCCTAACAAAAATGACAAAAAAAAAAGGAAAAGCAGGAGGTAACCTTAGTTACCGTATCAATAATTCATCCGCGGTGCATGCCTTAAATCTCCAGTGCCAGCGCCACGCCAGGCGCACGGGCAGGTACCTGCAGGAGGAGCCCCGCCCCGGAGGAGTGTGTCGCTCTGCAAGGATCAGGGGCAGACCTGGGTGCGCCCATTCATGCCAGGGCCTTGGCATCAGGAGCCAGGCAGCACGGCAGCGCTGCAGCGTGGGCTGTCCCTGCGAGGCTCTCAATGGAATGACATGTCAAGGCTGGCTGGCGCTCAGAGGCCGCCCCGGGTCACTCTGCTCCATTTCTGGCCATGAAATTCTGGTGTCCAGGAAAGCGCGCCTGGGCCTTCTCCTCCCTGAAATCTAGAACCAGCCTCCAGGTCTGTGTGGGAGAGGAGTCAGCTGGCCAGAGATCTCAGGGCAGCATTTTATAGGAAGCGTTTCAAAGGCCAGGGGCGACCCCCAGGGCAGAATTTCACATGAGAAAAAGTCTCTACCACAGTTCACCGCAGTACTGCTGGCTATGTTAAAAACAGTACAGTGGGCAGGAAAATAAGCCAGAAAATTGGGAATAGGATGGGGGGTTGTCCTCTAGGTCGGTTTTGTTTTGTTTTTGTGTTACTAGGGATTGAACCCAGGGCTTTCACGCTGAGCTACATCTTCAGCCCCTTTTATATTTTATTTTGGGTCTCAATAAGTGGCTATGTTGTCCAGGCTGACACTTGTGATCTTCCTGCCTCAGCCTCCCCGTGTGCACCACCACCCCTGGCTTTCCTCTGTTCGTGTGCATTTGCTGAGATTCCCACGGTGAGCAGAGGGAAGATGGGGCTTTGTTTGAAGTGGCTTTTCTCGTTGCTGCAGCTTGGCCGGGCGAGTGAAGAGTATCATGCACCAGGCCTTCTGGGACGTCCTGGAAGCAGAGCTGAAGGCCGAGCCCCCCAAGTACGAACTCGCCATCAGGCTGTTCGAGGAGATCAGAGAGGCAAGTGGCCGTCTGTGTGCGCCAGGGTCCGGGTGTGTCTGGGCAGCTGCCGGGGGTACTGCAAAGCGGGGGTGGGGGTGGGGGTATTTCTTAACAACAGGGGCCGCCAGCCTCGTGTTGGGCTCCCCAGTGCAGATCTCGTGAGAGGTGGGCCTGCTGCTGCCCGCTGGGGCTCTTCCACAGGGCACTGATCCCACTGGGGGTGACCCTGCCCTGTGACCCCGTCACCTCCCACCGGCTCTGCCCCCACTGCCCTCCCGGGGGACACAGATGCCCCCATGCAGTCTCAGGTCCCCTCCTCCAAGCCAGGTCCCCATCCTGTGGTGCTGAGCACAAGCTCGAGCTAGTAGGGTCCTCCCTGCACCTCTGGGTGTGATGGGGGCCCAGGAGAGCGGGGGGTGGAGCTGGGTCTGTGCTTAGGGCACAGACAGAGGTGCTGGATTCTCGGCAACCTGCGCTCTAAGACTCGGTTTACACACACTGACTCCCCCAGAACAGGCAAAGCTGAGGGTGTTGGGTGAGGGGGGATTGAAGTACCTTATGGGCACGTTCAAATCTGCCAGTGTGAACCCTGAGAATCTGCATGACCAACACACACTCATGAAATACGCAAGCCGGGCACGGTGGCGCAGGCTTGCGATACCAGCACTCAGGAGGCTGAGGCTGAGGCTGAGGCAGGACGATTGCCCCAAGCTCCAGGTCAGTTTGGGCTACTTGGAGAGTTCAAGGCCAGTCTGAACTACACAGTGAGACCCTGTCTCAAAAAAAAAAAAAAAAGGATAGGGGCTGGGGATTTAGCTCAGCGGCAAAAGCGCCTGCCTGGCAAGCGCAAGGTCGTGAGTTCGGTTCCCGGTATCGGAGAAAAACTGAAAAAACAAAAAAAAAAAAAAAAAAAAAAGGATGGAAAAAAGGTTTCTAGAATCACGTAGGATGACAGCTGCAGTTTCAGCCGGCATTTACAGGACGCCAGCTCTCTGCCACACACGCACTAACTGTTCACTCTCCCGCATCTTATGAGGCGGTTCCTGCTGCTATCCTTACTCTGTGTGAAGAAACCAGGTTCCCCAACTCAGGGCCCAAGGCCACCGAGCTTGGTAGCGATGGGGACTTGGGTTAGGGGTGGCTCAGGTGGTAACAAATAAAGTTCTATACGTAAAACACACGCAGCGCTGTGTGGGGTGTCCTTGCTGTGTGAGGAGGCCTGCGGGCCGTGACCTGCAGTTTGCCCTTGTTCTGCTCGATGGACCTTCTGACGGAGCTCGGCCTCCTCGGCAGCTGGCACTTCCCGCGGCCGCGCCTGGGTCAGGAGGCCGGGCTGTCTTCCTATGCCGAGGGACAGGGAATACTAGAACCCAGACAAGCATCCGGGAACAGGACCGCCTGGCCTCCCTAACAACGCTGCGGCTTGGCTTGCTTTCGCTCTGCAGATCCTTCTCTCTCTCCTCACCCCCGGTGGGAACCGGCTCCGCACCCAGATCTGTGAGGTGCTGGACACGGACCTCATCAGGCAGCAGGCTGAGCACGGCACTGTGGACGTCCAAGGCCTGGCCGCCTACGTCATCGGCATGATGGGCAGGCTGTGTGCACCCGTGCGGGACAACGACATCCGGGGCCTGAAGGCAACCGGCAGCATCGTGGAGGTGCTGAGGTGAGCAGTGCTGCTGGTGTTGGCCCGGGGCATCTCTGAATTCATTCACAGGGACGTGGAGCAGAATGTGGTAACACACACCTCAGCACTCAGGAGGCTGAGGCAGGAGGGTCGCTGTGAGTTTGAGGGTGGCCTGGGCTACATAGTGAGGCAAGGTCAACCTGAGCTATATAGCGAGACCCTGTTTCAAAAACCAAACAAACCAGAAGGAAGTGTGGGCAAGGGGAAATAGAGAATTCTCAAAGGAAATCTTGACCCTAGAAGAAAACCAGATAAACAGGGAGCGAGCTGGTCATGGACTGTGTGCGTGGCTCAGACAGAGAAGACTGTTGGTGGTGTCAGTAGTAAAAGTTAGAGAGCAGTGACACCTGTGCCTGTGGGGAGTCGGCGTGTCCCCTTCGTCCCCTCCCTGCCTGCCCGCCCCCTCTGAGACCCACCTGGTGGCTCGGGCTGGCTGACAGCCTCAGGTGCCTTCACTGTCTGTGCAGAGGGTTTTGTGCTTCTCAGAGACCTGCTCCCACTGCAGATGGCAGGCCTTGCTTCTGTGTCTCTCGGTGCTGCCTGCAGTGCCCAACCAGTGGGGCTCCCCGTGGTCACTGAGTGAGCGCCCCCTGCAGGCGGCCACCCCTGCACGCTCCCTTGGTTCTATCCCTGGCTGCCCATGCACCTCTCGCAGGAGGTCGCTGTCCCCCTCTGTCAAACGCGAGGACACTGAGGGACTTCTGCACAGCTGGGCGCACGCGCAGGGCTGCCTGACTTTGAGGATATATTTTCCCGCTGGGCCTCCCTGCCTTATCCTCTCTTCTTTCATTTATGTTTCATTTATTTATGTTTTTTTATTTCTTCAGGAATAAAAGCCATATCCACTATGTTCAGGCTGCTTAAAATTTCAGGGGCTTCCTTCTAGTTTTTCTTCTGTCATCTCTAAGATCCGTTGGTGATGCCACTGCGTGTTTTTCTGTCGGGTTATGCTGGCTCCAAAGACGCATAGGCTAGGGTGTGTGTATCCCACACAGTAAACAGAGGAAACACCTGGAACACACAGTACGGCCTTCGGTAAAAAGCGACCTTGCTGAGTAACAGCTACAATTTCAAGAGCATTTTGGGAATGTCTTGTCTTTTCTACCCTGTAACACATGGATAACAGGTAATGAGTTTTTCAGCTTGACTTTGTATTCACTTCTCTGTTTTGATTCTAAACCTTTTAGACAGATATTCCACGTGCTGGACCTCATGATGATGGATATGGCCAATTTCATGATTCAGAGTCTCCGGCCTCTTGCGCAGCGCCAGTTGGTAGAATATGAGAGAGCCAAGTTCCAGGAGATTTTAGAGGAAACTCCAGGTGAGTGCGAGAGAGTGTGCGTTCATACTGAAATTGGGTGAAAATGTACCATGGCTTTGGACGCTTTACCTGGGGTCACTGAGGAATCTTGGCCTCCCTGTCAAGCTTTTACCTTCGGGAATCAACGTCACGAGCATACAGTTGTCTGACCCATACCGGGCACTGCGCTGAGCGCCGCCTACCTCTGTGTTCGTTCAAGAGCTGTTTATTGCGCACTTGTGTTCCAGATGCGGCTTCCAGGCGCAGCCGTGGACAGAGGGAAGTTGCAGACCTGCTAGTGGGTGACAGGTCGCACACATGAGCGTGTCTGGTGTGTTGCCAGGGGACAGTTAGTGACAGGAAGGCGTGGGCGTGGGGTGTTTCTAGATGGGGCGCGCCGTGAAGTCCTCGTTAGGAAGTTGCATGGGAGCCGTTTTCATACCACGCATCGTGGGGGCCACTGGAGAGCCCTGAGCAGGGAGCGGACCCCTCGTTTCTGTTTTGGAGCATGCTGTGGTGCCTGCTTAGGGAGGAGATTGTGTGAGGGCAAAGAGGAAAGCAGAGGTGGCAGTCGGGTGGTTTTGACATTACTTGGGCAAGAAACGAGCTGGCTGCTCCGGGCGGTCGCGGCCGAAGAGGTTACGTCGCTGGCCGGTGTGGCTGCGAAGGTGCGGTAACAAGACGTGCTGGAGGTCGGGCGAGGGAGGATCGGATCGCGGTGATGCCCGGGCTGAGTGGTTACGCGTTTTAGTCATCCGGGGAGGCTGAGGGAAAGAGAGCTGGGGGATTATGCGGAGTCAAGAGTTCGGTTTTGGATATTTGAGGTGTTGCGTGGCGTTGCTATCCAGGAATCAGAGACAGGAGCTCCCGCGGAGAATGCGAACCGCACATGCGCGGTGGAGGTCCCCGGTGTGTTCACGGTGCGCGGAGCCAGGCGCTCGGAAGCCGTCGGCGCTTCTAAGCACCTTACCGTATTAACTGACTCCCTCTGTGACACCTGTGGTTATTTATCCCCCTCCCCTCGTGTGGGTGAGGAAACTGCGGTGTGGTGGGGTTGAGTCACCTGTATCTGTGTCGGATTGGACCGGGATGGGAGCGCTGCCTGTGGACCTGGGGATGCGCAGGCAGGCGGCAGGCAGCGTGGAGGGCGGGGCAGAGGAGGCGGGACCTCACCGGGCTGCACCGTCCCAGGCACTCTGCACGCCGGGCTCGCTCACGCACTTCCCTTACTGCTGAGGAAACGGACAGATGTTGCTCAGCGGGCAGGAGGCTGCAACCCGCGCATCAGCACCCTGGGCGGCAGCCTCGGGGCCGATCAGCCGCGTCTAAGCCAGCGAGGGGATCTGTCCAGGGCCCCCACGGCCACGGCTGAGCCTCCTGTCTCGGTGGCCAGCGCAGGCGTGGAGCGCAGCTCCCGAGGGTCACATGGGAAGCAGCAGGCTGCTCTGCTTGGTAGCGGGGAGGACCGGCAACCGGCTCCTGTCTCCCCTCTGAGAGCGACTGGACAGGGAGGCTTTGGCTCTGTGGAGGCGCAGGCTGGGCTGGAGGCGCCCCTCTCCCAGGACTGCCGTGGACAGCGGATGCTGGCCAAGCCCTGTATTCCCAGTGAAAGCTGACTTCATCAGGCCTCAGGCCAGTGGTGAGGTCGGCACCGTTGCCAGCGTTCTCGAAGAGGAAACGGAGGGGAGGGTGCTTGTGCTGGGTGACCGCCGCAAGGTGGCGGAGCCTGGGTAACTGGGACGCGTCCCTGCCTCGAAGCCCGTGCGGTCTGTCCTTTCCTGCCTTGCTCCAAGCAAGGCCCGGCTGGCAGAGGGCGAGCTGCACAGGTGTCTGCTGTGGCGGGCAGGGCCTGATGCTTCCTTCCCAGGGCCCTCCTGTGATGCAGATCCTGAGACCCAGTGCTAGGGGGAGGGGTCGAGACGTGTGGAGCCCTGCATAGACCCTGACTCTGGAGCCCAAGTGTAGCAACTGTGTTGTCCGCAGCAGTTTCCTGGGGCTCTGAGGTGGGTTTGTGTGCATGTGCATCTTGATTTAGAATCAAGATAGCTTTAGCTGGGCATGGAGGTGCAAGCCTGTAATCCCAGTACTTGGGAGGCTGAGGCAGGAGGATTGCTCTGAGTTTGAGTTCAGCCTGGGCTACATAGTGCATTTAAAAACCAACCTGCACTACAGAGGGAGATCCTGTCTCAAAAAAAAAAAAAAAAAAAAAAAAAGCTTGGATTGGAGTCTTGGCTAATTCCCCAGTTCTATATGG